CAAATACGATAACTCTTTTGGCAATTCTCTAATGGGAAGGCTTTGAAGAAATCCCAACTCAAATCTATTGTACAATACATTTCATAAACACTCAATTGTGTTGTTATTTTCAAAGAGTTATTCACATAAGAGTTGGCATAATATTGATAAATAAGTTGTAATACAATTTAAGCTAAAAATATATCTCCATTTATATTGGGCTCAGAAAATGCATTACAATTGAAGCAAACATTTGGCCATTTGATGAACAGTTACAACGAAACCATTAACCACTACATTATATATNCTCTCTCTCTCTCTCTCTCTCTCTCTCTCTCTCTCTCTCTCTCTCTCAGTCACTATAAATATATTCATCGATTGAGTTAAGAAATCGATAAATATTTTGATAAATTCTTTGAGGCATTTATTTTCATTTACAGTAATTGAACTCAAGAGCGCTCTCAAGAATTTCTTGCTGTTCCTCTTATATATGTCTCAAAACATTCATCATATTTATAGATATCATACATAACTCTTACAGTTTTTTGGTCTTAAAATAATTTCTCAACTATTTTCCCGCATATATACACTACACAACTGGAGGAATGTTTTATCATAACATTAAACGACTAATAATATAAGTAGATGTCTAGGAATATAGAGCTGTAATAAATCAAGTTTTAATTTATCAATTAGGTATTGAATTTCATTATAATTTAAACTTAAGGGGTTTTAAGGCTTTATGAGTGATATAATAATATATTGAGTAATGTTAGATACAGTCGTTGTTTTGGGAAATAGATATTGGATGTCATTAATAAATTTGTCAAAAATTTATTATTAAAATAGATTCTTATGAATTCATAATTTATACGAGAATTATATATCAGTTACTTATTTCTGATAAATGTTAATCAAAAGTGATATCAGATTCTTATGGTTTCGCTATTTTTAGATACAATTCAGAGGAAGGAATTCATTAATGTTTTAATAATGTTTATTCGTTTTATGCAAAATAGCATTTGATTCAAAACAATAACCAAAGACTCGGTTAACGATGCGAACAGATTGGCGGCAACTCTTCAATTGAAGCTTGAATTTTGATGTTTAAATCGAGGGTTCATTCAAATGTCATGACTTTGGGAATCGACAGAATCGAGAAAAAGTAGTCAAAAGAGAAAGAATAAGGGAGAGAGAGAGAGAGAGAGAGGATGGAGAGGAGATGGAGAGAGACATAGAATAAGCAGAGTACAAGGCTCTCACGAATTGCGAGCCGATCAATACTCTCTCTCTCTCTCTCTCTCTCTCTCTCTAGCATTGATGTAACATTAGGGCTACTGTTACTAAAAATAGACGCAACACTTTTAATAGAGGAAAGCATTGCCAGTATTGTAACACTTGTTTGATGTGTTTTGTCATTCGTTTCTATTATTTATTTCAAAAGACAACTGAAATACGAATTTAACACTAAATATATATTTCTGTATATATTGTTGTTGTCTCTCATTCTGTACTAATTGTCATTCAATTTTGTGCACAAATGGACAGTTGTTTTTCGTCCAAATTGATTTCCATTGTCTTTCCATTTGGAAAATTAGGATTTCCGAGAAAAAGTCATATAAAAATAAAATACTGTTATATTTTGCATACATCTTACTGTTATTGTTAATGTCAAACATATTTTATGCATTCATTTTCCATAACTAGATGTTAAATACTGAAAATTTTAATTGAGATGAAAAGTAATGCATTAAATCTGAAATATACGGAAAATAATTATGTCAATTCAAATAAATAACTATTTGTTGATTTGAATTTATGGTCACTTTTAGTGCTCATAAAACTTTTCCATTTAATAATTATTAGACTCTAACTTATATTCATGTCGTGTTTAAATACATTAAACACACCATTAGTTTTATTTTTGTTAAAAAATAAAATACTTTTTGTTTAATAACGAAATTAATATTTTCTACAGTAGACATAAAGTACCATGACAATAATTAGCAAAATATACAATAAAAACATTAATATTTGAATTAAAACTCATTTTTACTTACAATTAGTTAGAAATAATATTATTGTAACAAAAATAAGACATTGAATACATGCCAAACAAATAAAGCATATATTATTCATATTTGCAATAATAATAACAATAGATATATATTTGCGCAATAAATCAATATTGATGATGACTAGTTGGTAGAAATAACATGGTATATCTTCATTAACTGTATAACTGTACCACTATTTACCTTATTGTGCATAACTGTGTTATAGCGAGCAAAATAAGTTCACTAACATTGAAAGGTCAAACGTTCACAAATGTTTTGGTCTATATCTGTCTGTATAATGCAATACACTATACGTAACGCACAGTATGTTATAATACAGAATATACGGAACAGTTATATATAGTATTAAAGGCACTCTTTTTATCACTTTATTTCCTTAAATTTGTTGCTATTTATAGCTTAAGAATTGGTTATTCTGTTTGTGTGTATATATAAAAAAGGAGAATATTTTTTAGTATAAATTTTATGATAAAATGTATTATTCTGTTCAATATCTGGGTTTGGATTTTCGATGATAATAATAATATTAGTTTATTTTACTGTTATGTGAATTCTTTACGATTCTGTATATATATTCTACAATAAATTCTTGCAATAAAATAGAAATCAAAAATGTTTTTTGTATTGCAATTGTATCAGTCATTTGGTTGTGATTCACCATCTCGTTATAATCTTGTAATTTAATTCAAAATTTATTATTTACATTAAATTTTATTAAAAAGCCCGCAGTTTTCCAAAAATTTTAAATTAAAAAGTTTTATTCAATGTTCATTTGAAAGATTCACATAAAAGTCAAAGGTTTGGGTGGATTACCATTAAATCTAGAATTATAGCTAAATTATAAATTTTTATTTAAAAATGTTTGAATAATATTATATTCAGCGCATAGAGAATAATATATGGCAAACATTTCGTTTAAATTAATGCCAATTTTTATTCCTATCCTAATATAATCCCAGACATTGTATTGCAGTTCATAGTTATAAAAGTGTTTGTTTTAGAGCTTAAAACCAATTATGTGATAAAAATCCAATTATATTGCATAATCAAAGTACTTTTTATTGTTATACTTACTCTCTCTCTCTCTCTCTCTCTCTCTCTCTCTCTCTCATACTCTTTCTTTTTTTTCTTTCTTTCTAATTGAATGACTCATTGAATGGGTTCTCGAAATATAATCAATGCAAACAAAATGATAAAACAAAACATGACTTATTATAACGAAAAATATGTGTTAAAAATCAATATTATTTTCATTTTTTGGCAAACATTACAATAATAGCAAAAATAATGCTATCATTGAATTCACATCTCTTAACGTCTAAATGAAAACAATAGCCATTGCTTTCATTATCAGTTCTTTCGTATCATTTGTTTCTTTATTATAATTTTTGCACATTTTATTGATTTTCTGTGCGAAACACGTCAACAGATTCTTTCAAAACATTGTACAAAATCAGCAAATATTATATTTTTATGTCTTTTCCTTTAATACACATATTTTAAGTCTCTCTCTCTCTCTCTCTCTCTCTCTCTCTCTCTCGGTTTCATCAAATGATACTTGAAATATGAGGCAAAACATGGTTTACTATTAATTGCAATTTAAGCACAATTTGTTGCATTCAATGAAACAAATTCTGTGAAATACATTAATTTCTTTCGGTTTAAATTTGAAGCATTTTTCCATTGAATTTTATATCAAGATTGCACTAAATATTAAATTTGTTATTTTTCCGGGAATATATGTCCATATACTGTAGTGTGTAAAAACACAAACAGGTTTCAAATTCCGTATTCAAAGATAACATTTTATAAAGAAAATAAAATATTCAAATTAGGTTTTGGGTCCACAAAAAACATTGTGATCGAAATTTAAACAAATAAAACCACAGAATTTGAATAGTACCGTATTATCCCATAGACAACGCGCGCGTTATCTAATGAAAAAAGTGAATTTCTTGCCAAAATTAGTGGTGCGCGTTATCTACGGGGTGCGCGTTATATGTGGTTTAAAAATAAATCACACAAAAAGTATTTTTAAAATATTCTAGTTTATTAATAAATATAATTATAATAAGTATAAAAATCAATCAAATCAGTCAAAATCAATACCTGATTCTGAACAAATCTCTAATATTTAATATCTAGATAACATGTCTTCTGTATCAATATTATCAGATTCAAAATCAATAATGATTTTGTTTGTTGTTTTTAATTGTTTGAAATTTATTTAATTACAACAATTAATCACTATATTTTGTTTTGAATTATATTCTAAAAATACGCGTAACACAATAAGTTTAAACATATAGTAGAGGATATGCGCGTTATACACGAGGTGCGCGTTATCTACGATTGATTTTTTATTCAAAAATATTGTTAAATTTTGTACTGCGCGTTATACACTGGGTGCGCGTTGTCTATGGGATATTACGGTATTTTAGATATTTATAGATTCCTGTATACAATATTGAGAGCAAACATACTGTACAGTAGTGTTAGGCTCTCATGTATTTTAAATTGTGGAGAAAATTTGCTCAAAAGTCATATTGAATTCTGTGTTGAATAGTCTGTGTTATTGTATGTTTGATATGTTGTGTCTGTCAACACATTTCACGTATTTTTCTCCTTAATTCTCGACACATGAAAAATGAAATCATTTTAGTTTTCTTTCTTTCGGACTCATTCAGCATCTGTTTTAACTCTACATTATATTAAACCCAAGTTTTATTTGTGTTTTTTATTCACAAATGTATTTCATTGTATTCTTTGTAGACAAATATCATATCATTTTTGAAATATTTTTTAATTTAATAAAATATATTTTATGAATATTAAAAACAAAACAAAAATATAACAATTTCTAACATATAATCCATACAATATGAATAATCACTTTATTCAATAAATTTAATACATATCGTAAATAAACAAAATATTGTCTCAAATCATGAACTCTTTAACCACTCGTAGAGCCGACTCGAAGATATCGTCAAAACTTGAATTGTTTGACAAAATCGTGACAATTAAGTCCTGATCGGGAAGTATCATAATAATGGTCGTCAGTCCTGTCAGTCCACCAGTTTTCCAGACGACACGTCTTATGGTTGACGGCATTTGGCATTTATTAGTGCAGACAATCGGTCGCAGCAATTCAGTCACTGCCCAACCATGTGCTAAATATGTTTTCACAAATATAACATTATAAATACAATGAATTCATTTTTCATATCAAACCGTTTTTATGTGAACCAAACTGATCGTGATATTTCTCAATGATTGGTTTCCAGATTTGTTTAACAGTTTCAGATTTTAAGAGTCCTTTAAAATACAATTTTACAATTCGTTAATTAAAATATCAATTCATTCAAATAAATATCTATTTTAATAATTACCTAATTTTGTATCATTTTGAACATTCTTATAGCTGTTTAGCATAAAGTTTCCAAACGATAGCAGATCGTCGACAGTGGAAAGTATGCCACCGGATGGCCACTGGGCCTCATATGCCAGCAAATCGTCGACAACCATAGCATTTAAAAGGGTAACGTTAGATGCATTTACAAACTGGTCCTTTAGATATGGAGAATCGCTACGGATATAATCGTGGACCCGATGTCTGGCAATCATATCTAGTGTTGGGTAAAATGAGAAATTTCCAAAAATTACGAGAAATTTCTAACAAATTTCTCAAGAAATTTCTCCGTCTATGGGAACCCCATTATATCCTATGTAAATCGTTCTTGACGTTATATATGACCGTACCCCC